TTTCCTCTTCGCCCCCTCCTTATTGAAATCTGTAAAAAGTTTCATATTTTGCCCGGTCAACTTACTCCAAACGCTCACCGGTTCTTAAATTGTTTTGTTAATATTTGTGAAAATCTGAAAATCAACCCTTCCCTTGAGCTTTTCCTCCACATGTACGAAGTCTTGCCCGGGACTAGTAACTGCCCGGGCTTCGTCTATTTCCATTCCCGCAATAAGAGGGGGTTTGTGACCGGTCTTCCCCCCAGCCATAAGAGATGGAAACAAAGATTCGTTTTCATTGAGTTTCCCTCTGACCAATTTCCTTTCACTAACCCTGAGTGGGCTGACCGGGTAATAAAACCTGAAAGGGTTCACCCGGAGCCTACCCCTGAGCTTGAAGATGCCTGCGAGAAACTTCTCAAGGGTGATCCTGTAACCGATAAGCCATACGCCTACGGTGGATGGGTATACCGGTTACCTAACCCGGATGGGGGTGAATCTGCGACCCATGACGCAGAAGATGACCGGGCAAACTCCCCGGATGGTCATGCTGAGGCCAGTTCTCCTCGTCCAGGTCGATCATCTTCTCTTAAGCTTCTTACTTTCATTTTCTTTATTTATGTACAAGGCTTAAGAACTAACCGGTCATTAGTTGCTTTGTTCTTTTTTCAGACATGAACTTCAACAGGATGACCACCATCATTGAGGATGATGACGATGATGTCCAAGTCCTCAACTCCAACCGGGCTCCTCTCTTTCAAGCCTTCTTCTCCTCCTTACTTCCCTGAAATGGATGGGGCCACAAGTGCCCGGTGTAGCCCTATCCATGAACAGAGCCAAAAACTGAACTCTCCTCCAGCCACCCATCTCTTTGAAAGTGACCGGGTCCCTTATCCCAAGAAGGATGTCAAGGCCAAAGGGAAGGGGACCGGTCATTCTTCTTCTCAGAAAAGGAAGAGTTCCCACAAGACTTCCAGGGGGGAAAGGAGGAAAAAGGTCAGGCTATCAGATCTAGAAGGGGAGTCCATTGAAGTGACATTTTTATCCTTGGCCCAGAAACTCAGCAAGGTACCAACTCTGATTTTCCTCCCAGTTTAATTATTTCCTTTGCTTTTACTGACAAGCTTGTTTTCCAGGTTGGAGTTCTATCCGAAGAAGTTGGCCGGTCACTCCTGGAGTCCAAGGACCAGGTCTCCGAACTTACCCTGCTTCTTGATTCTGCCAAGTTGGAGATCAATGACCGGGCCGAGAGGGAGAAGAGACTTGAAGAGGAGCTGAAGGAAGAGAGGGCCAGGCTAGATGAGGAAAGAGCCAAGCTAGTGGAGGCGAAGAGGAAGTTGGTAGAGCTGGAGGATGCCTTGGCCCAAGCTGAAGAGACTGCCCGGTCAAAGGAGCAATCCTTTCCTGATGATGCTGCACGATGGGCGGCCGGGCATCATGTCGAGACTGCCCGGTCCATTCTAGTTGGGCCAGAGGAGACAATGGCCTTCTTCAAGACCATGTACAAGGAGCCGGAGGGAAAAAAGATGATAACCGATATCGGTTCATATGGTTTCCAATGCGGTTAGAAGGATGAGAGGTCACTCCTCTACTCCAGGCTTCAGAAGAGGGACCCTTCCTTTGACCCGGCCAAAGTGAAGCTTCCAGCCCTGTACGAGGAAGAGCCGGCTCCCCCCTTTCCCCTTGAGTAGGTTAGGGTATGTTTTCAAACACTAAATTTTCCCAAGGCCTGGGGGATGTCCGGCCTACTTTTGATTTGTATGAAACTTAAATCCTCTTGGCACGCCTTTATCTTTTACCGGTCGATCTGCTTCAATTTGCATGGTTGAACTTCTTTTCTATGCATGGTTATTGTTTCTTGAATGATAGCTTTTCTTTTCTTTTTCTTGATCGCCTTTGGATGAACTTCCAAGTCAATAAAACTAACCGGCCTTATACCTTAGGAATCGTCTTAAAGAACGTCCAGGCCATCTCATGTCCTGGTCTTGAAAACGCCCAGGCCTCATTGGCTTGGTTGACAATTTTATTGAATATGCTTGATTCCAAGTCAAAAGAAGTAACCGGCTTTATCCTTTGTAGTTGTCCAGGTCACCTTATGTCCTGGTCTTTGGTTAGCGCCTTAGAAATGTCTAGGTCTGGTAGGCTTTGTTGACAGCGTCCAGGTCTTTTCATGTTCTGGTCAATTTCATCTCTTGAAAATGTCCAGGTCATGTTATGTCCTGGTCAAGTACAAGCCTTGAGAACGTTCAGATCACTTTATGCCTGACTAGTCTTCTGGACCGGCTTGTGTCTAGGTTGAACTGCAACAAACGTCCAGGTCATCTCATGTCCTGGTGTAGTAGGCTAGGTTGGAAGTTTTGAAGACCACTTTAGACGCAAGGCTTGAAAACTTCCAGGTCATCTCATGTCCTGGTTTCTTGTCTTGAAAACGTCTAGGTCGGTTTCTTCCTCGCCTGTTTTCTGACCCAGTCAATTTCCAGATTCTAATGGCTTGGTTGCAATATGTAACCAGCATGACGTCAAATTTCCTGTCCAGGTGCCGGGTCAAAAATTTGACCGGTCAAAACGGAAGGTTTTCAGATTTGCCTGATTTCATCAAAACCGCTAACTAAAAAGTGACCGGTCACTTTTCTCAAATTTGACCGGTCAAATTTTAATTTTTTCCCATTCGCATTTTCTTGTCAATCCAGAACATCAAAAAGTGACCGGTCACTTTTGACCATGCCACTTTCTTTTCCCCCTCTGGCCTGGGTGTCATGCCTAACAGCAACCTTGCTCAAATTTCGAACGAATAATCCGAAACGGTTTTGGAAACATCAAGTCTCAACATCAAGACCCGAACTTTCTTCGGAGATTTTGACCATGTCCTATGATCGCGAACCCTCTCCAAGGTTCAGCCCTCTTCCAGGCAACACCCTTCTTCCAGGGCCCCTCTTCCAGGTTTTAAGTTTTTTAATGTGCCATTCTCTAATCATTAGGTTGACCTAGCCAACCCAATCTTCCCACGTGGGGGTATGCCGGTGAGAACCAGCCCTCATCCAATCTTACATGTCCATATGTTATGCGTTTGAAGTGAATTCTAGTCTTCCCTAGACCCTTCAATCCGCAAAGGATGGCTCATGCAAGACGGTAA